TAAAAGTAGGTCCGCTGTAATTTTATGAGAAGATCTTGATATTATTGTTGGTTTATTTTCCAAATGGATGATTCTAGTTTTAAAATGTTTAGCCTGATAAAAGATGTTAATGTTGATTTTAAACAAGTCAGATATAACCATACATTCAACACTAGTTCCATAAGTACCATCTTTTTTCATTTCCTGGCAGTATTTTTCTTTATCAATCTCAGTTTGGTCATCATACAGGATAAAACGTTCATATTCTTTCCAGTTTGTATACAAATGTTCGACAGTATTTAACCTAAGTTTTTTAAACTGATTTTTTTTGAGATTGAAATAAGAATATACTCAAAGATCTAAAAAGACAATTGCCGTCACCTAGTACATTTTGTCTTTTAAATGTTTAACTAAACATGTTTAAGCAGTCGCTCTTACATATTTAGCACAAATTGTGAACTACTTTATGATTAACACTCGACGCGTTATTTTGAATAAATAGTCATACCAGACGACATTTCTTACTTAACTGCAGTATTTAAACTTTACAATAAAAAAAAACTTTTTTACCCTCCCTGTTGCAGCAGACCTAAGTTATAGTTAAACTAATTATATTTGAATAGGTAATAAATATGTGATATTTGTAAGGTGGCATTTTAGTGTAAATCCAATCAGTCAATTGGAAATTCGTTTAGTCTGCAGGTTTGCTGCTTTGGGGGTGTTTCTATGGTTTAAACGCAAAGAACTAGTAACTGCAATACGCATTTGATACGTATACGCCTATCCCGTACGAAGGACCTTTGCAATACCTCTATATATTTTAATATCTTTATATATTTTAACAGCGCAGTGACTAAAAAGGTGCATTTTATAACATATATCGTTTGGGCGTTGACTGTATATAGTTAACAAGTTAACGGTATGGGCTACGTCAGCTTCTGCCAACAGATAGTGGGGGTTGGGTTGGGGAAGCTAGACCAAGGACACTTCGCCCGCCCCGCAGTGCCACTGACTGTGAGCGCAATCCAGTACTCCAGTAGTTCTTTAGTTCCTTGTTCTTTACATCACTTCGGTTTGTTTGCTGAGTTGAGACTGTCGAAAGTTAGTTGATTGTTGCTTTGTTCGTTTATGGTTAGCTGCAGAAGTGAGTGGCACTTGTCCGCCAGGTGAAATTTTCTTTGTAAGAGACAGTGCATTACATTTTTGAAATAATAATAATAATAATTTTGAAAAATTAATTACATTTGATTTTTACTTGATTTTTAGCAGCAAACGTCTTGATTATGTCAGAAAATGGAACATTTGTCGCTCTTACATATTTAGCACAAATTGTGAACTACTTTATGATTAACACTCGACGCGTTATTTTGAATAAATAGTCATACCAGACGACAACCAATTGTTGTGTTCTGTAAGGGCTGATTTGTTTTATGGTTACTAACAGCCAGCGTCACTTTGTGACTACAAAATCCGTGATATAGCCTATTTGAAATAATTTACGGACTTCTATTGCAAATCTTAAAAAAAGAAAAAAGCTAACGTAAGTTCTTATTTACAATTTATACAAATAAGATTGCAATATTTTACTTGAATTCACTACATCACCAACTCTAACGATTTTCGTATGGATGTAAACGAATTTGTAGCATTTTTATCTGTTATTATGTAAACAAATTAAAATCTATATAAATAGAATTACAGTTTTGTCTGTACATTGCTTAGAATCATGCAGTTTTTGTTTTTTTTACGTTTCATAGCCTAAGAAAGCCGAAACGAGTCTTATCTAAATTTCTGTCTGTATGTCTGTTTGTCCAATCTGTGACTCCGTCTGTAACGCCAAAATGTCATTTTACCGAACTGTAGAACAGTAGAACCGAACGTCAAGAAACCTTTGTTTGGATAAAGGTGGTTTCTTCAAACTGCCATTAATATGTTAACATTAAAAGCTTCTTACAAATAATGCTACTAATGGGAAATAACTTTGATTTTCGAAAACTTAAAAACTTTTAAAACCAAAGGAGATTAATAACTTCTGTACTGAACCACATCAAGTAAAAGTTTTTTTTAGCAAACCGTATTAAGTTTTCAAAGCTTTACGTTGTTAACGTTACATGTTACATGTTTTGTGGCCTGTGTATTTATTTATGTATATATTTGCCAACAAATTAATTAACACCTATAATACAGTTTGATTAGAAGGACAGTTTGAATTAGTCGTAAGTACTACAGTTCTTTTCTCAAATGTAAACGTTGGTTTTTGGTACTGCTACTTTTCCTTAGAACCGGTGGTAGCAGTAACAATAATTTCAACATATCACTATTTTCACTATTTATTTATAAACACTGCACCTTTTTGCTTATTAAATTTAACTGATGTCTTACTGAATTATCTTTAGCGTTTTCTGTCTGGACTCAAAAATGTTGTGTGAACTCAATTCTGTATTTGTGTGTGTATGTCTGTTGGTAACGCATTAATGTCCTTATTTTTCGTGGAAAAGACAAGAGAACCATTGTTAATAAAAATTTAAACCCGAATAAAGTGTGCAGTAGTGAGGTTGAGGAAGTGTTTTAACTACTTTTAACCAGTGTGAAAAGTAACTTTAAATTACAGGCCTACCTTAGGGCTATGCCTCATAGATCTATACTGTAAAACAATTCCTTTCATCGTTTGATATAAAATATGGACTAACACGATCGGGTGATATTTAATTGCGAAGCATTCGTTTTGGCTTTGAAACTGTCAGATATTGTATTTGAGAAGGTTTATATGTATTCCTAAACAGTTATAGTTTTGCTATCATATCTGGAAAAATGCACACTAAATATGCAAACCAAACTCCTGTTCTGAATATAAGGGGTCTTTTATAGTATTCGTGGGTTTTAACTTACTACTAGATTCCCGTACGTAGAACGGGCAAACAGCTAGTGTTGACATGAAAAAGTTAAGATGATTGACAACTGATTGATGATTGACAGATGATTAATAAACTCTGAAATGTTAAAAGCCTATTGGACGAAGGGCTTTCACGGGTTATCATCTAAACCCACAAAAGGCACATCTAAATAATTGGAGCTTTAAAATTGATACCCAAAATGCCTAGGAAAATAAATATTTAGGGGTCAATGTGCTGAATACAAACATCCAACAAATTCTTTTAATAATATAAATTTCAATGGTATAATATATTTGGGAATTTACCGCTAAGCTAAAATCCATTCTGTAAAAAATAATTTTTACTATATTTCAATTTTTTTATATCCCTGGATGCAGATTGAAAATTAAAGTAGTTCTGGGTAAATGGGTAGTTAAGGGGTATGGTGTTGGTATATGTGTGTGTAAGTGTGAAAAAATGTGTGTGTAGGTATGACAAATTTAATTAAACCATAGGAATTGGGTAGGTAACAATGCTCGGTTGCGGTCATAATATAATCGCATCGTTGGGGTCCGATGCAGTATCAGTGGAACTGGAAGTGTGGAGAGAAGACATAGAGTGAAGAGTTAAATTAAAAGGGACTGTGTGGTGTACGTGTAGGTACGTGCACGTGTGCGCTGTAGCGATCCGGCAGCACGGCGTACTCTGTCTAGTGTCTGTACTGCAAGTGCGCCGAGTGCGGGCCGGGCCGCCGGGCGCCGTGCGCCGGGCGCCGTGCGCCGGGCGCCGGGCGGGAGTGCGCTGCCAGCACTCTCTGGCAGAGAAGGAATAAAACAATTGACGCACGCGCTGTCTTTCGGAGGTGCAGACCAACTAACTGAACCCACGGACCTGGCTCAGCTCCGGCCATTACAATGGGCCCGTATGTATGCGTTGTCTTTTAAGGATTTATAGTCAATGGTTTTACTTATTTTGTCCGAAAAGTGCTAGGCTTGCCACGGGGGCAAATAAGTGCTAAATAAGTCAGTGTGCGTGAAAAAATCGGTAAAAATAAAATTTTTCATCTCAAAAGTGCTAAGGAACGATATATCGGGCCTCGATCGTATGAGGAATCTAAAGAAACCCTCGCTGTTTTGAATCAACAACTGAGTCAACCGATATGCCCATTTAAACTGACACGATCGAAAGCCAGGCCGGAACGATATATTGTCGCTTAGCGCTGAAAGGGTTACTTGAATGAAATAATCAAGATGTGTTTTTGTCACTACTCTTTTTATTTTGTTGAGGATTATAAGATGTGTGTGTTCTCTATAATTTAATAACAGTATAATATTTAATGTCAATGTCAAAGGAACAATTATTGGCTAATGAGTTTAACCTTTTATTTGAAGGGCTGGCACCTGCATTCTCCTATCACTTAATAACTATAATTATTTTGATGGCCTATCAGATTAAAACGTTTAACTTTTGAATTGAAATTTTTGTGAGTGAAGACACGGCGGGTTTGCTAGTAATAATATAAATGGATAATGGACACATTAAAAAATAGTATAACGTTATGCATAGGGTATATTTACAATTCATCATAAACATATAACAGATTGAATGCATCTTTGAGTAAATTTCCTACATGAAACAATCTAAGTTATGGCCAACGAGCTAACTTATATGACAGTTGTGTCCGAAACTTAAATTTAAATGGGAATGGTTAGGTAAGTTAACTTATTAAATTATGTGTATGATTTTTACCGAAGGTGAATATCTCATAAAGGGCATATGCTATTACTGTAGGTCTTATGGACCTGGACCCATTTACTTTTCCAATTAATACTTATTTGAACCATCTCATCTACCTACATTTCATCAGCTGTATGAGGCATATTATTTATATGCCTCGTATAACGTATACCTACATACATACGCATATAGTAATATATAGTGTACGGTGCTTGTCCGTTAGCTCAATAACTCTTCAAAAATGACCTGATTTATTTGATTAAATTTGGTACAAACTTGTAAACCTACATTTATTTGAACAAGTTCAGGAACTAGCATGACACAAATACTGTATGACTCTAGTAAGACAATGTTAAACAATGCAGGTTTTCATCAGAAGATTTATGTCAGCAGACATAGGCTTTATCTTACCGTCATAGTCAGCTGTGGAAGGCTGAGGCCCCAGGATGACAGTAGCTCGTAGTCCTGGAGTACTGTGTAACCTGTGACTGTAGGGTCGTCAGCATTCACGGAGAAACTGGCACCGTCTCTGGCAAACCTTACGAGCAAACACTCACAATGTTAATCATATTTTGGTACACCAGACCATTTACTTAGTCTTTTTTACAAACTTATATATGCTCCTACAAACCTAATGAAATTAAGCATCTAATTAGTCTTGCAGCATTAACCCAAGTATATTATTTACTATGTTCTTAAAATACACCTTACTGCTTTAGAACATTTTGTTAAATTAATTGGACTATTATTATCCTTTATCTAAGAGTCATTTAAATATCCATCTATCTTAGGGTTCTAGAACCATGGAAAATATTCTTCTTGTTAATAATAAAATGCTTTGACGTACAATTTCAAACCCGATGATTTGATAGCCATGCAATATTTTTACACTCAATTTCAACTTTAAGTCTAATTTATTTCATAATCTTAACAAATGTAAGAACAATCTTGATTCAAAGAACACTGTAAATGTGATAAGTATTCTTGTTGGCATTACCTGCAAATTGGATGTGTCTCTCCCCATGCATTCACGGAACCTGTCATGAGGCTAGAGTAGGGACAACACTCAAAGTGGACTTGGTCCTTTATACATCTCTGGTAAATGTTAGGGTCCTCCACCACATGGTACCCGTGTCCCACCCTTTCACTACCAAGCTTGTACACAGCCTACAAGATAACAATATCATATGAGACTAGAGTAGGGACAAAACACTCGAAGTGGACTTGGTCCTTTATACATCTCTGGTAAATGTCAGGGTCTTCCACCACATGGTACCCGTGTCCCACCCTTTCACTACCAAGCTTGTACACAGCCTACAAGATAACAATATGAGACTAGTAGGGACAACACTCGAAGTGGACTTGGCCCTTTATAGATGAGTGAACGAAGTGAACGAATCTATGTATCGTGTATAGTGGAGTCGGAGAAAAGTTGTCCGCTGGAGTATGTGTGTGTGTGTGTGTGTTCGCACCTAAAACTCAAGAACCGTTGCACTTATAGCGTTCAAATTTTGCACAAATAGTTATGACACCAGTGTAAAGACACCATTAAAATTCTAGACGATTCCGCTCAGTAGTAATTATAAAATACTTAAAAAACATTTTTAAATTTGTCCCATAAGAATAACATTAGGAGCTACCTTCTTCTTCTTTTTATTTGTTTACATTTTGCGACCAACAATTTTGTCGTCTACTTAAGACAGAGAGAACGACTTTTACTCTAAGCTCTTTCATTCATGGAGTAAACAGTTTGGCGTCTATGAATATATGAGTGAAAATTTAAAAACGTACGTTTTCATGTCCCTGGCCTTTTACTTCGTAGATACTGGATTTGTAGTTTACTATTATGTGTTTTAATATTTTTTGGAACGGGGGCAACATGTTACACACATTTATTTGGTTTTAAATAGGTTCTAGGTATTTTTTTCGTATTTTTAAAGTCTCAAAATTCACGACCATGACGTGTCCCTAGGGTACATTTTCCAACTTTCACCCTGTTTTTAGACTAATTATTCATGCCGAAATATATAAAGCCATATTTTTATGTCATCAATGGTTATTAAACTTACAAAAAAGGAGCATATTATAATTTTATTGTCATTGCAAACTGACTACCATGACAAAATAAGTCTGTCCCTCGATTTGGCGTCACGACCATTTGGGAAAAATTTTCAACTTTGGAGCACGACAGTGGCAAGCCTGGCGTCGAAGGAGTCAGTTGGTTTTAGAGAATAGTTCGGGGTGTACGCCAGGATTGTAGTGCCGGTCGTTTCGAGTTGAAAGGAGGAATTACAAGATTAATAAAGGAAAGATTGTGTTTTTTGTAATTTTGGTGTGTCCATGACCGTACGTAGTCATTCGATGAAGTAGACATGGTGTTAATTTTTGTTTGTAAGATATTTCAATTGCTAGATTAACCTAGAAGTCCACTTTGTATCCTCGAACATGAGGTGCAGGGCTACCGCCAGAACAGAGCCATATAACACGTAATTTCACGACCAAAGTTTCACGACCATCGCGGGTTTTTTCACGACCAATCCAGCCTTATGAATTATAGTGTGTTTGGTCGTGACAATAACTTTAATATAATTGTAATTTGAACAGTTTAGTTGAATTGAAACACTTATTTTTATTATAACTAACAGTATAATTAAAGGATTGTTTAGAAAGATTTAGATTATTTCAGAAAATTCACGACCGTACCGCTTGTCCCTGACCATCACGTTTATGACTTCTATCATAAAAATTTCAAAAATTAAAATATCGTCATATTTCAATGTTTGATACACAAAAGAAACACACCTCTATACAAACATAACGATTTTTCGGGTCTCAGGTAAGTTTTTCCGGAGTTATACAAACTTAAAAAGATTTTATTGGCTTTTTTCAATTTTTAGAGTTTTTTTTATTTTTTTCTAAAAAGACCAAATATACCAAAAGCTCAGTGACCTTTTCATTGTATAATGGTCATAAAAGTAAATTAGTTTATAGCAAAACATAGTTATAAAAATAATTTTAACTATTTTTAATATTCATTTAAACGTCTGTTATGGTCGTGACAGGATTTTGTGTTTTTCCACTAAAGATGCTCTTTAAAAAAAAAATACCAAAGATATTGCATTACCATGAACATTTTATGAAACTTCAAATGTTAATGAAATAAAAATAATAATAAAAGTTTTGAAAAAAGGGGAAAAAATTTTGCAAAGTGCTTTTTCTGAAAACGTACGTTTTTAAATTTTCACTCATATATCATTATAATTTCACAGCTTTCAGAATAATGTTATTTAAGCTAATTAAATCTCACAACATTCATAATAATAAATTGTACTTAACAATATTAGTCGGCAGTCATATACCGTTTAAGTTCAGTATTAAAATTTCGCCTTTTAATTACAAGTATATAGGTATGTATGTATTTAGAACAAAGCAGCTTTTAACATTATTCAATTTAATGTTGGCATTGAATATTAAATATTCAAAAATGTTGGTATATTTTTATACTAAAATGCTATGCGAAGGGGGGGGGGGAACAGGTCCCCGACGTAGAGAGTAGTAAAGAAAGCGGAAAGGTGAGCAGTGAAAAGAAAGGAGTACGGAAACCCTTTATGACTGTTAAATTAACGTATCTGTAATACTTAAATGCTATGGAAAGATAGGGAAACAGGTCTACGATGTAGGAAGTAGTGAAGGAAGTAGTCAAAGTGAGCAGTCTGGAGTGTGGGAAGCCTTTGTGACAATTAGAATAATGTATCTGCAATTCTAAAAATGCTATGGGAAGGGAGGGAAACAGGTTCACGACACTTAGGAAGTGGTGAAGGAAGTAGTCAAGACGAGCATTCCGGAGTGTGGGAACCCTTTGTGGCAGTTAGATTAATGTATCTGCCATAATAAAATGCTATAGGAAGGGAGGGAAACAGGTCCACGACGTAAGAAGCGGTAAAGGAAGTAGTCAAGGCGAGCAGTCCGGAGTGTAGAAACCCTTTGTGGCAGTGAGATTAATATAACTGCAATTATAAATTCCAATAGGAAGGGAAGGAAACAGGTCCACGACCTCGGAAGCGGTGATGGAAGTAGTCAAGGCGAGCAGTCCGGAGTGTAGAAACCCTTTGTGACAGTTAGATTAATGTACCTGCAATACTAAAATGCTATAGGAAGGGAGGGAAACAGGTCCACGACGTAGGAAGTGGTAATGGAAGTAGTCGAGGCGAGCATTCCGGAGTGTAGAAACCCTTTGTGGCAGTTAGATTAATATACCTGCAATTCTAAAATGCTATGGGAAGGGAGGGAAACAGGTCCATGACTTAGGAAGCGGTGATGGAAGTAGTCAAGGCGAGCAGTCCGGAGTGTAGAAACCCTTTGTGACAGTTAGATTAATATACCTGCAATACTAAAATGCTATAGGAAGGGAGGGAAACAGGTCCACGACGTAGGAAGTGGTAATGGAAGTAGTCGAGGCGAGCATTCTAGAGTGTAGAAACCCTTTGTGGCAGTTAGATTAGTGTAACTGCAATTCTAAAATGCTATGGGAAGGGAGGGAAACAGGTCCATGACTTAGGAAGCGGTGATGGAAGTAGTCAAGGCGAGCAGTCCGGAGTGTAGAAACCCTTTTTTGACAGTTAGATTAATATACCTGCAATACTAAAATGCTATAGGAAGGGAGGGAAACAGGTTCACGACGTAGGAAGTGGTAATGGAAGTAGTCGAGGCGAGCATTCTGGAGTGTAGAAACCCTTTGTGGCAGTTAGATTAATGTATCTGCCATAATGAAATGCTATAGGAAGGGAGGGAAACAGGTCCACGACGTAGGAAGCGGTAAAGGAAGTAGTCAAGGCGAGCAGTCCGGAGTGTGGGAACCCTTTGTGGCAGTTAGATTAATATTCCTGCAATACTAAAATGCTATAGGAAGGGAGGGAAACAGGTCCACGACGTAGGAAGTGGTAATGGAAGTAGTCGAGGCGAGCATTCTGGAGTGTAGAAACCCTTTGTGACAGTTAGATTAGTGTAACTGCAATTCTAAAATGCTATGGGAAGGGAGGGAAACAGGTTTACGACGTAGGAAGGGGTGATGGAAGTAGTCAAGGCGAGCAGTCCTGAGTGTGGGAACTCTTTGTGACAGTTAGATTAATGTAACTGCAATATTAAAATAATATAGGAAAGGAGGGAAACAGGTCCACGACGTAGGAAGTGGTAATGGAAGTAGTCGAGGCGAGCATTCTGAAATGTAGAAACCCTTTGTGACAGTTAGATTAGTGTAACTGCAATTCTAAAATGCTATAGGAAGGGAGGGAAACAGGTCCACGACATAGGAAGTGGTAATGGAAGTAGTCGAGGCGAGCAGTCCGGAGTGTAGAAACCCTTTGTGACAGTTAGATTAATATACCTGCAATACTAAAATGTTATAGGAAGGGAGGGAAACAGGTCCACGATGTAGGAAGTGGTAATGGAAGTAGTCGAGGCGAGCAGTCCGGAGTGTAGAAACCCTTTTGGCAGTTAGATTAATATACCTGCAATACTAAAATGCTCTAGGAAGTGAGGGAAACAGGTCCACGACGTAGGAAGTGGTGAAGGATGTAGTCAAGGTGAACAGTCCGGAGTGTGGGAACCCTTTGAGAAAGTTAAATTAATCTATTTTAAATTCTAAAATGCTATAGGAAGGGAGGGAAACAGGTCTACGACGTAGGAAGTGGTGAAAGAAATAGTCGAGGCGAGCATTCCGGAGTGTAGAAACCCTTTGTGATAATTAGAATAATGTACAGTATCTGCAATTCTAAAAATGCTATGGGAAGGGAGGGAAACAGGTCCACGACGTAGGAAGTGGTGAAGGGAGTAGTCGAGGCGAGGAGTCCGGAGTGTGGGAACCCTTTGCGACAGTTAGATTAATGTATCTGCAATAATAAAGTGCTATGAGAAGAGAGGGAAACAGGTCCACGACGTAGGAAGTGGTAAAGGAAGTAGTCAAGGTGAACAGTCCAGAGTGTGGGAACTCTTTGTGACAGTTAGATTAACGTATCTGCAATAATAAAATACTATGAGAAGAGAGGGAAACAGGAAATACATTACGTATATTACCAATGACTTTGGTTAATTATTGGACGAGAAGTTAGGATTGTTGTTGACTGAGATTTGGTTTTTTTTTAGAGGTTGGTCCAGCCTCTTTTAACCTC